ATTTATACGTCTCTAATTATTTTGTTTGTACAAATCTATCTATCTATCTATATCTATTATATATATAATTATAAATTACAGATTTGTAACAACACAACTGCAAAAATTCGACGGATATATTATAGAAGAGCCATAGAAAATGTAGTATATTATCGTTTTTTAATCATAGTATTCTTTTGAGTACATGTATTTTTGTGATGGATTATTCGATAAATTTTTGGTGCTGTGTGGGTGAGATGTATGACTGGTTACCTCTACACTGAGAAGAAAAATTTAGTGGTTGCAACAAAATTGTTTGGTTAGACAATTTTGGTTCTTGTAACCGAATTTTTGTTGGCTGAAACAAAATCGTAGAGTTATCTCAACCAAACATTTGGTTAGGCCAACAAAATTATTTGGTTAAACATTTTTAAATTCCAACCAAAATTTGGTTACGACAACAAAATAATTTGGTTAACACAACAAAATAGTTTGGTCTAAAAAACCAAATGATCGTTTGTTGTCCTAACCAAAATTTTGGTTGTGGCAACCAAATAATTTGATTTGCAAGGATGGAACTCACAAGGATGGGTAGTCCGGTGGTCAGAGCTCCCGACCTTCAGTTTTAAAACAGAGGTTCGATCCCAGGCGGAGATGAGATTTTTCAAAGTCCACAAATATTTCAATTGGATAAATATAAATTAAACGTTAAATTGATAATAAATAAATAATAAAATAAATAAAAAGGATACAAAAAAAGAAATAAGGTAGAATAACATTTTTAATTTTACAAAATAACTGTTTGTTCGATCAACCAAATATTTTTGTTGACCTAACAAAAAAATTTGTTTGAGCTAACCAAACATTTTTGTTATACCAATAAACAACACTCAACCAAATTTTTTGGTTGACTCAAACAAATAATTTGGTTACTAAAATACCAACAAAATTTTCTTGGTGGCCCAACCAAATTGGTGGTGCATCTTGGAAACAATATCATTGAAATGTTTAAATTTCATAAAAAAATTTAATTTGGTAAAATTTAGTTTAAATCATAATTTAAATTTAAGGAAGATATAAGTTTTTATTGACATTGGTTAAATAACAATCAAATATTTATATAATTTTTAAGCAATGTAAATAAATTCTGAACAATTTACAGACGATCCTGATGAAAATACTAATACTTTTTGTACGAAAATACTATCGGACACGCACCACTAGATGTCGAGACCCGACGTAGGCGGTTCGACAGCTAGTTGAATCATAATGAAAGTGATTAGTACAGAATCCTTCTTTCTGTATACACTTACACTCACACATACGGAACGACTTTTTTTGATTCTTGAGGACGAAAAATACAAAGTTACATCATAAAATATAACTTGAAAACTTTTCATATTAAAATGCTTTCCATGAGGAAGCAATACAATTTAAAATTAATAATTGCAGTTTAAATTAAAACTATTTATCTTGTTATAAATAATAAAATAAATAATTGAGAAACTTAAAAATTAGTGGTAATATAATAATTAAATTCTTACTCAGTAACGACATTATCGAAAATAGTTTTTTGTTCAAGAGTTATGTCTTTGCACTTTTCAACCATTAATTTTCTAGCCTTTCTATTATTTTCTCCAAAAGTTTTAAAAATACTGCATGTATGATTTTCTTCTTTCCCTTTAATAAAATGCCCATTTTCTTTTATTAATAAAAATTTACATGCAGTCCTTCCTGTTCTTTTTGAACACCTGCCATAATCAAAAAGTATACTATATCACTGAAAAAATGATATTCTAGATTTAAGAATTTCTTCTTAAATAGGCGCCAAGAATAGTGCCGAATTAAAGTAAGTGAGGAAATATTCTTACAGTAAATAATATATTCTTGGCGCCTATTTAAGAAGAAATTTTTAAATCTAGAATATAATTTTTTTAGTGTTGCAATTAAATTAGTAAATTCTAAGTGTAAGTGATAAAATGTAGGTCGGCTTTAATTATCATAATTAAAGGGTTAGAATCATATATTCGTTATCTTTAAACATTTTTTTTATTATGAAATTTTTTTTGTTTACTTATACCAATAAAGGACTAACCCAGTAATATTGCCAAACATTCATCAATGTTGGAAATGATTTTGCAATATTATCAAAAAGTTTGGATGCTATAGGGGTTGTTGCGTGAAAAGCACGCTTTAAAAGAATTAACGAAAATTTAAATTTTATGCCTAATTTTATATTTTATATAATAATGCGAAACTGCTCTTTTGTATGACTAAAACTTGAAATAAGTGAAATTAAATAAACAAATAAAAATACTTTTTTAAGGTGGTTTTTATTAGTATTAGGTTTATTGTAATATTCAGTATTTATCGATAAATTAATTATTTCATAAAAGAATTTTTAATTGATAAATGTTTTAAATAATTATGTTTTAGAAAAATGTAATTAAATTTATATAAATAATTAATTGAACAATAAACTTTAGTTTGAAATTTGAGAAATGATTGATTTTTGCAAGAGCTGGAGTTATCATTTTTGAAAATAAATAAATTTCATGAAATTATAATTTTAATTTTCGTACAGTTTATTTGCCGAAGAGTTTATAAATATTTGAAATAATAATTTAATTTTAGAGAATTTTTGATTCAAAAAATGTTTTAAATATTAAATTTTTAAAGATGTTGATTAAAATTATAAGAAATAATAATTAATTTAGCAAAGAATTTTAGATAAAAATTTTAATAAAAACAATTAAATTTTAAGTAGAGTTCGATTTAATACTTTTAGAAATAAAAAAATTTCAGGAGATTTTTAACTAAAATTTTCATAAATATGAATTACTGATGATTATTTATAAGTTTTAGATAATAATTGAATTCTAGAGAATATTCAATTGAAAAATGTTTTAAATAATTGAATTTTAGAAGGACTTGAATAATGTCATTTTAAATATTTACTTTTAAGTGAAATCATAGTTCATTTTTTTACATAATTCAATTTCAAAACGTATATTTTATAATAAAAATATCTTGTTAAAAAAAATTGTAAAAATGTCGAAAACAGTTTCATTCATTGAAAAAAGTCTATAAAAGTCATTTAATCTAAGGCCTGTATTGTGTTATATTTATGGTAACTGAGGTATAAATAAAATGAGATGAAATTTTAGGTGTCAACCAGGATTTTGAGAAATATTTAATTAAATTGTAAAACTATATTTTTAAAAATTTTAATATTCACCTAAGGATGTTTTCGTTTCTGGGATCTGGATTATAGCTGTATCCATCAATGAAAATAGGCATTTTAAATATAATAAAAATTCAAAATTTTCAAATTTTTTAATCTGTAATAAACTCTGATTCATTAATAAAATAGAACTTTTATCTGCATGTTGCTTAAAATTTGAAAATATTTTTAGATCATTATTTTTAAACGTAAAGAATTTGATAATTCATTAAATATTGAATTTATATTACTATTCATCGATTTTTATTTATTAATTATATAAAATTAAAACGTTAAAAAATATATAGTAATACAAACATTTATGCAATAGTAAAATAATTCTTTTTAATAAAATAAAAAAAAATTTATTTAAATTATGATTATTCTTAACCCTATTTTCACATTTAAAAAAACTTAAGATAGGTGACAAGTTGTAAAATTTTTTAAAAATCAATAGTTTAAAAAGAAATTAAATTTACCTCGTTTTAGCGTTTGTTAGCTTTGTTCAAAATATTTAACAACATTCTATCAAAACAGAAACAAATATTGACAAACGTATCTGACAAAGTTTAAACATTACACATTTGTTTTTTTAATTTCAATTGATATATATATATATATATATATATATTTATATATATATATATATATCAGATTTAAATTTCTTAAAGAAAAAATATTCAAAATTAGGTAGGATATAAGAAGTTGATCTACAGATAGAGCGATTAGTGTAAATATTAGAAAATTATAAAGAAATTGAATTAAAGGTTCGTAATAATATTATTATGTATCTATGACATATATATATATATTATATATGTAAATTGGATAAATAAATTAATTAATTAAACAAAATAACCAATAAATAAATTATCATATTAAGGTCCAATTTCACAAAATCCGGTTAAAAGTTAATCATCAATTAAATCCCTAATTGACCAATCATGAGTGCTTAAATTAGCTTTAATCGATGATTAACTTTTAACCGGAGTTGGTGAAACTGGCCCTAAGTAATTAAAAAAACAATAAATTAAAAACAGGTTAAAAATATCTAATTAAATCAAAAAAATTATAGATTAATTTTTTTTAAATTCTTAGGGTGCCAAAAATAATTCGTTTAATCTGGGGAAAAGGGGTATATGAATAAATGTAAAAAAATCTCAATAAATTTCTAGAATTGAATATAGGTTAAAAATAGCTCATTAAAAAAAGTTCTTGATTAATTTACATTTTAATTATTAGGGTACCAAAAAAAATTCGTTTAATCCGAGGAACAGGGGTACATGATTAAATGTAAAAAAATTTCTCAATTTATAGAATTAAAGATAGGTTAAAAATAGCTAATTTAATAAAAAATTTATAGATTATTTTCTTTTTAATTTTTAGGGTACCATAAAAAATTCGCTTTATTTATAAAAGAAATATTTTTTAATTAATTTAATAATTATACATAAAATTCTAAATTAATTTTTTTATAATTTTAGTGCATTAAAAAAAATTGAATAGAAATTTTCATCATTCCAACAAACACATGCACATTTAATTCTTTTCAAATATTAGATCTCACAATAATTATAAAACAGGGTTAATCAGAAAAAAAATTTAACGCACATGAAACGTGTCAACATTGAGATAGGTATATGAAATATTTAATTTTTTTGAAAAATAAAAAAAAATTTGAAAAATTTAATTCCTTAATTTTCTACCTTAATGTATATTTTTCAAATTTTTTTTATTTAAAAAATATATTATAAATAAAAATTCTTATTAATAATGTTTATTATTGATCTTGCGTTTTTTACTCCGTGTCCCTCGCTTCATCTAAAATAGAATTTTTTTTTAATTATGTAATTCAATTTAAATTAAATTGTAAATTCTAATAACTTTAATATTTTATTATTAGCCAAGTCTACTTTTAGGCCGAAAGGCTGAAGCTTAATAATAAATAATAATATTTTATTATTTTGGGTTTAAATGTATTAACCTTGAACAGGTTCTGTTAGGAGCATTAATTCCATGTGAATCAGGAAGTCTATATTACAATTTGTAGTAAAATCATAATGACAATCTATTTCTGAAATTAATTGGTTTATTTCTTCTTTATGATGCTTTATTTGTTCTGTTGTCCTTATTAACTCATAAAGTTCATTATTAGAAGGTGGCCGAAATTTTTTAATTGTGAAAGCTATCATTTTATGGTACAACACAATTGCAGCGTATAAAATTTGATAGCGGAATCTCACGAATTGGAAATTCATCCACATTTGAAAGAGACGATGTGCTTTTTTAGAGTCACCTGTGATAAAAAAATTTAACATTTATTGAAGATGAAAGAGGTTTGCATAGTTATGTAGAATATTACAAAAATAAATTTAATATTCCTTTTGTTGAAGAGAATGATGTGTGATTAATTAATTCAGGTGTTTTGAGTTTACGGAAAAGAAGTTTTACTTGTAACAGACGGAGTTTTTATTAGAATAGTGACAGTTTTAGCTGATTCAGTTAAAACATTCTCTATTCTAATGAAACATATTGCTGTTCCACGTGAAGATTTTTTCCTCAGTAATTTTAATTTGAATTAATTTTGTATAAACATTTTTTCATAATCTCTGACCCAAGCAGCACGTAATATTACAGTAATATTACTGTAATATTAAAATTTCTGCCTTATGGTAACATTACAGTTATATCAACCGGTAATATTACGGTAATATTAAATGGTAATATTAAAAAAATTCTAAAATCATTTAAAAAAATATTTGACCGATAAATTAATATGTTTTTCTGTTTTATTATAAAAAAAAACTTTGAAATTGGTATGTATATAATAATAATATATACATAATATATATATATATATATAATAAGCGTATAATATTACAGTAATATATTACTGTAATACGTGGGATATTTGTCTGATTATAATTATTAAATTTTTCTGTTTTATCATTAAAAACATTTAAAAGTTTTATTTATTTTATTATATACAGTGACGTTACTGAAGTTACAAATGTCAGAATAAAAAACCGGTGGAAATATGAAGATTTTTAAAATTAATCAATTAGAAATTATCAAGAAAATCGTGATTGGTTAATTTTAAAAATTGCGCCAAATCTTTCTGTCAATTGATTATTAGGTAATTTTTAATTTTGGACAAATGAAGATTCGGCGTCTTAAAAATTCTATTAATTACAAATTGGTAAAAAAAATTCTGATAAATTAAAATTCAGTCAATTGGAATTTGTCATTTAAAAATTTGAATCATATAAAATTCGATTAAATAAGAATTCTGCTAAATTAACATTTTTTTATATAAAAAAATCATGTAATGAAAATGATTGTAAAATAAAAATTTAGTAGCTAGAAACTAATTATTGTAATTATAAATTATTTTGTTCATTATAAGGAAAATTACCAGATGCTTTTAAAAATCCAATAATGATGAGAGTTGGATACAACGTTGACATTATAGCTAAAAGATTAGCTTGAATTTCAAATCGTGACAATAATGTTGACATTGCTAATGGAGCAAGAATAAGTCCCATAATGAAAACAATACTAATCACAGGGGATACGAAGATTAATTTCTTTATCGTGAAGTCTGTGTAAACTATTTTTTCACTATATATCATCGTGAAACTTAGTACAATTCCCATTATTACTCCTGCATTTAAGTTAGTCAAATATGTACCAATATCATTATTTTCAAAATATCCAAAAGCAAAGATTCCAATCAATAAAATAGTAATTCCCATTAAAGTACCGAGGCCAGCAATTGAAAACATCCTCACGATAGTTCCCGTCCAAGGATCTAGAAAAATATGGACCAAAAATTTCTTAATCACACATGCCAAAAATGTAAAATTTTTGAATCAGCTATTAAAGTAGAGGGACCGCTGATAACCTTTCGAATTTAAGACTATTTAAGGTTGTCATTCTTTTCTGTTAATATTAAATATTTAAATCTGTAATATACTATAGGATATTGAAAAACAATTAATTCATTAATAATTCATTAAAAATTACTTTTTTCATTTTTCATAGTGAAATATGATTTCAAGTTCTCAAAATTTTTTTTTAATTTTGACAATTTACAATAATTTTAGATCCTAAATAATAAAATAAAAAAAACACCCCTTGAGAATATTAATTTCGATTCCATTGGGTGTAGATAGTAGATAAGGTATTTTTGTATGTATTTTTTTAAAATTTTAATTGCTAAAAATTTATCTTTATATTTACAATATTTAAACTTACAATATTCATTCCTCAAAGGATTTTTTGAATTTAAAATAATTAACATTTCCTTGTAATTAAAATTTTCCAACATGTCATCTAATAAATTTCCTGAAAAAATATAAGGGCATATCTTTGAAACCTTTAACTTTTCAATAAGAAAAAAATTTTTTTTTTTTTTTTGAGCACAGTATTGAAACTTTGTCTACATAAATTTCAAGAACTAAGCTTTCCAATTATACAAGTGGACATATAAAACAAGTTGTCTTCAAAAAGTTATAAATATTTAAAATTGAGAATTATTTTTAACCTGTAACAAAAAAATATTCAACAGGTGTTTGCTTTTTAGGATAAAAAACAGTTGAAGGGAATTTTCTAAGGGGTTATAATTTTAAAAAGCAATAAAATTCGTTTAATATTTTCAATATTTATATGAATAATAAAATACTGAAATAATGCACTGGGTATAAAAGCATGTGTCAAAAATTAACTAAATATATAAATTTTTTATTTGAATATTTACATTACATTTTAAAATAGATTTTTATTATAGTGAATTGTTTTAAAAATGTAAAATTGTAATTTTTAAAATTTACCATACGATTTTCATAGACTTTTTTCTATTTAAATTTAATATTCGTAAACTTTCCAATTTCTTTTCTCTTTTTTCCTTTTTTATTTTTCTTTTCTCTCGCATCTTATCTTTTTTCAGAATGAATTTTTTTTGGATCCATTTTTGTGTCTCGAAATAAACATTAAAACTTAACCTTCAGGTTTTAATAATTAATGACAGTTTCTATAAAAAAAATTATAATCGGCAACTTCGTACATAACAATTTGTTTCTAAAAAATTTCGGTCGATTACGGTCGACCGTAATTGATGAATATTTTTACATTATCTTTGCAATGAAGTATTTTTTCTCGAAGCACATTCACGGGATGTTAAATGGCACATGTGAAAATATATACAAGTACTTTTCGAATGCTTTTATATGATTTTCATGAAGTATCACTCGTATTACGGTTGTTTTCAAATTTTGTCCACACGTGTTTTCGTTTACTTAACTTATAATAGTTTTTTGAAGACATGAAGCACATCAATTTATTATGTCTCAAAATAATTATAGTAACTTGATCTTTGATTTCCCATAAGTTATTTTAACGTGCCGCTTGTCTTATAAAAGAAAAATCATAAATACGATGATTACGGTCGAAAAGGTTAAAAGTGAGGGACAACTTTTAAAAGCTTATAAATTTTTTCACAAGTAATAAAATATTAATTTCCCTGCGAAACTGTGTTCACCGATTAATTAACATTGAAAAACCATATTTCAGAATTAGTAATTTTTATTAAATCTAAAACTATATCGTTTAAAGCATCAGAAAGTATGGTTAAGGACAAGTAGACATTGTTAAAAATCGCGTTTTAAAATTGAAATAATTATTTATGTATTTAATAAATTAAAGTGGAATCTTTTGGAAATGATTGATTATATCAAGCATTAATATTTCCAACAAAAACCAACGAAAAATTTATTAAAATTACCAAAATATATGCGAGGGACATTAAAGTTAAAGGTTCTAGAGATATGCCCATAAAAGATTTTATTATATTTAATCACTTATTAATATAGATAATGTGATATATATTTAAATTACATACCACGATATGTCTCCAAACCCGACAATATTGCCTTTTGCTTGTGACGAATAGGTTTCCGAATATTGCTTGCCATTTTTTAATTATTATTAAAAGAATAAAATTTGACATGAAAAAGCAAAAAGGAAAAATTTAACATATGGTTAATTAAAAACAAAAGAAAACATTAGTATTAGGTAGATTTCACAGTTAGCGGTGTTTCAAAACTTACGAATAAATAATTCTTACTTTTTTATTTTTTGATTTTAATTTTACATATTTATGCAGAATTTATTATTTACTATTTATTATTTATTATATATTATTTATTATTTATCTATTCTTGAATTTTTTTATCTCACAAAATTTTTTAATTTTTACAAAGATTTTATGAAATAAAACTGGATATCAATTTCAGTTAAATATTTTTAATAAATTATTCATACCGTGAATAATAATATTAAAACAGAAAAAAATGATTGATGAATTACATAATTAAAAATAATTTAATAAAAGACGACTGTAAAATATGAATGGTAAAAAAAATTTTAAATTTAATATTTAATTATTTCAAATTGAATATTTAAAAATTACAGTAAAAAATTACATTTGCTTTATTTTTAAAACTATTAGAAAAAAATTCTCAATTTATTGTTATTATATGCAAGATAAATAACTTAATGCACATATTTCAATGAGTATTAAAATAACTAATAAAAACATAAATATATTTTATATAGGTATATATAATACTACATTACAATTATATCAAAAATTTTGGGAGAAAGTATTGGAAATAAATTAATAAACATTTTTTATTAAAAAAATCATCGTTTTCTACCTATTGGAATAATTTAAAGACTTTTTCATTTAATGTTTTTTTACCATTGACATAGTACTGATTCGGTGTGAATGACAGTGTACTGCCAGTACTGGTTTTAATATTTTTTTACCTCCGACATAGTACTGATTCGGTGTATTAGTCAGTACTTTATTCGTTTCCTTAAGTATATTACTGTATTCCCAAGCAGCACGGTATATCCCCTGAATATCCCTTGAATACCACCGTGGAATATTCCCATGATCTTCCAGGAAAATCAAAATGTCCGCCTCATGGAAATATTCCACGGTGACATTCAGGGAATATTCCAGTGACATTGAAGGTAATATTAAAGGAATATTCCAGTGATATTGAGGGAATATACCACGGTTATATTGAATTTTTTTTAAAGTGTTGAAATAATAAAAAAGTGTTATACATTGTTATTTAAATAAGCAGGAAGATTAAAAACACATTTAAAAAAAATTCAATATAACCGTGGAATATTCTCTCAATATCACTGGAATATTCCCTCAATATCACCTGAATATCCCTTTAATGTCACTGGAATATACCCTAAATGTCACTGTGGAATATTCCCATGATGCGGACATTTTGATTTTCCTAGAAGATCATGAGAATATTCCACTGTGGTACTCAAGGGATATTCAGGGAATTTACCGTGCTGCTTGGGTTAAGGGATGAAAAAAGTTGAAAAAAATTTGTAGTAGATATATAATAGTTGAACCAATCGAATTTTTTTTTTTTTATTTCAGTATTTTGTCTCGCATTTGAAAAAAAACAGACTTAAAAATCATACCAAATTTTTTTCTTATTCTTTATGACTCCTATAACAGAAATTCACTTCAATTTTTGATTTTTGTTATGGGAGTCATAAGGAATAAGAAAAAAATTTGGTATGATTTTTAAGTCTGTTTCTTTTCAAATGCGAGACAAAATACTGAAATAAAAAAAAAATAAAAAAATTTTAATTGGTTTAACTATTATATATGTACTATAAATATTTTAATTTTTTTCATCCCTTAATACAGTAATATACTTAGGAATCTTTTTTCTTAAAACTTTCTTAGAAATTATGCTGTCTCCATTTACCCCAAATTTTATGCAATTATTAATTAAATTAATTAAATTTAAAATTAATTGAGAATTTATTTCACATTTATTCATGTACCCCTTTATACAGGGTTGAATGAATTTTTTTGGTGCAGTAAAAATTAAAAAGAAATTAATCTATATTTTTTTTATTAGATTAGCTCGTCGATTGAGGGCAGAAACACGCCAATTCAGGTGAATGTTGAGAAACATGACAATCTAAAAAATATTAGGGAAACCTGCCATTCCAGTGAAGATTTCAAAAACATGCCATCTCAGATGTCAAATTTTTGTTGATTGTTTTAGGTTGGTAACACTGTAAACGAAAAATTGATGAGTCAAAATAATTAATATTTTGCTGAATATTGATGGTTAAGTCGGTAGAACCTTTAATAATTTTATTATTAATAATTGTACTTTTCTTAATTTTTAATATTGATTTCAAGAATAAAATTTTGTTAACTATAATATAACATTCTCAAGAAAGTATTACCAACTTAAAACAATCAACAAAAATTTGACATCTGAAATGGCATGTTTTTGAAATCTTCACTGGAATGGCAGGTTTCCCTAATATTTTTTAGATTGTCATGTTTCTCAACATTCGCCTGAATTGGTGTGTTTCTGCCCTCAATCGACGAGCTACTTTTAACCTATATGTAACTCTAGAAATAAATTAATAATTTTTTTTACATTTATTCATGTCCCCCTTTTACTCAGATTAAAAGAATTTTTATCGGTATCCTAAAAATTAAAAATAAATTAATCTAAAATTTTTTTTATTAGATTAGCTATTTTTATTTAACCTATATTTAATTTTAGAAATTAATTGAGAGTTTTTTTACATTTATTCATCTACCCCTTTTCCTCAGTTTAAACGAATTTTTTTGGTACCCAGAAATTAAAAAGAAAATAATCTAGAATTTTTTTTTACATTTATTCATGTACCCCTTTTTACAATGTTATACGAATTTTTTGGTACCTTAAAAGTTAAAAAGAAATTAATCTAGAATTTTTTTTTTTTAAATTAACTATTTTTAACCTATTTTTAGTTCTAGAAATTGATTGAGAGTTTTTTTAAATTTATTCATGTATCCCTTTTTTTAAGGTTAAACGAATTTTTTTGGTACCTTGAAAAGTAAAAAAAAAATAATCTTAAATTTTTTTTTATTTAATTTGCTATTTTCTCCCTTTTTTAATACTTAAATTAATTGATAATTTTTTTTACATTTTTTCATGTACCCCTGTTCTCCAGATTAAACAAATTTTTTTTTGGTACCTTAATAATTAAAATATAAATTAATCAAGAATTTTTTTTAATTAGCTAAAAATTAATTAAAAATTTTTTTTACAAAAAACCAAAAATAGTGAGAGTGAAAAAGTCAGTGATATGTGTTCTCTCTCATGTAAAGTTTACGTCTAACGTCTTACGATTTTCATTATGCTTTGGTCCATAGAAGTCGATGCACACAGGTAAAATAAAGTTGGTTCTACAATAAGCGCATCGGACGTGGACGCGATCGTGCTGACGTCACCCATTTGAATAACATTGTGACGTCAGCACGTCCACGTCCGACGCGCTTATTGTAGAACCGACTTAATGCTGACTCTACATTGGCTGCGTAAACGTGTACGTGAACGTGAACGTGCTGACGTCACCCATTTGAATAAAGTCGGTTCTACAATGGGCACGTTTGTACGCGAACGTGTACGTTCCGTGCTGACGTCACAATGTTCTGCAAATAAGTGACGTCAGCACGGAATGTACACGTTCACGTACAAACGTGCCCATTGTAGAACCGACTTCACATTGTGACTTCAGCACGTTCACGTACACGTTTGCGCAGTCAATGTAGAGTCAGCATGAAAGAGCTTGTACGTACAAGCTCACGGATTTGTAAGTTGTACATTGGCCTTTATCTACGTAAAATTTGTTTTTAAAGGCGCTTGTACACCTCACAAATTCTTCCTCGGAATTTGTCAGAAGTTTCACTAACTTTGATTGGATTTGCTCATAGAAAATTTCGAAATTTTCCTTTCTTTTGAAAATTCTCCATGAGCAAGGCCAATCAAAATTAGTATAACTTTTGACAAATTCCGAGTATACTTAGAATTTGTGAGGTGTACAAGCGCCTTAAGGCGCCGTCCCATGCTGACGTAAAAGCGGAAAGCATGAGAACGAAAGAGAAGAACATATTTCATTGCTTTTATAATGTGTCTCCAATAGAACCATTAGGGTGCACTCCCATAGGTGCGTAAACGTAAGCGAAAAGCAGAGAAACATGAGAGTGAGAAGAATATCTTGTAATCATGTTTTCCTGCTTTCAGTTTTACTCTTATGCTCACATGGGACTTCACCCTAATGGAGCGGTCACACCTCGGCTGCAGGAGGCAACCGTGTAACAGTAAGAGAGATAGAAGATTTTCCATCTCTCTTACTCTTACACGGTTGCCATTGGCAACTGCTCCTGCAGGCGAGGTGTGACCGCTCCATAAGGGTTCATTTTCATAGGACATCAGTTGATGGAAGCAACACATGAGATAGAAAAGGACATACATTTTTTTTGTCCTTTTCTATCTCATGCGTTGTTTCAGCAACTGATGTCCTATGAATTTGCATCTTAAATAACGTAAATGTGGACGTATGACATACTAATGCTAAATTATGCTTGTTTCGAAATTCCAAAAGTTCTGATATTGGCAAAAATTAATTATCGATGCTTTGATAAAATTTAAATTACATTAGTATATCTCTTCTAAATTGAGAACGGAAGCACATTTAAAATGTTAAAATTTTTTACGGAATTATTGTAAATAAGATAATATTATTTAACTCAACTGAAAGTTGTCAATTGACCAATATTTAAATATTTTATTTATTAATTAATACTTATTTACCAAAACTAGACAAGAAAGTAAATAAGAAAAAGAGGTTATGCTGCCATTGATGCGGCTACAATGTCGACAACCTGGTTTTCTACAGTATTATACGTATAATACGTATAATAATGTTTAAGTGCCAATCTCATGAGTGCAAAAGAGAAAGAAAGACTACCTATCTCTTTCTCACTCATGAGATTGTCACTTGGACTTGTACTTGGCTTTTGCACCTATTCTAGAACCGCCTTTACAACAACTTGCATCGGTACTTGTATCTGCATTTG